CTAACAGATTTTCATAAAGTTTGAGTTCTTGATTGACGTGTCTTTTTTTTATTTTAGCAGAAAGCTGAGTCTCCAGATGAGCTGGCAGAATTAGTAAATATGAACTTGGCTCAGCTCTGCTCCCTGCTTATGGCTCTCTGGGGACAGTTTCTGGAAGTTGTGTCCCTGCAGGAGCACATCGCTGCACTACTAGCCATGGAGCACCATACACTAAGAGTGGGTTTGACCTGTTTATTAGGATTTATACCAGCTTTCCACCGAATGCGTAAGTGGTACGTAACGTCTGTGAAGCCGTTAGTGCTGCACAGATAAAAAAACTCACGGTTCCAATCGTATTATGTTTTGGATCAGCAGAAAGAATAGACAAAGAAAAAACGAATGGCTTCGTTCTCTCTTTCTTTTGCAGAGCGCCTGGTGCAACATCTTCTGCTCGGTTTGCAACTTGCTATAAAAATAAGAATTACAGAGAGGTCCGATTGCCGACTAAATGATAAAACGGCTTGCCTTAAAAAGCTCACTCCCCGAGTGTCTGTCATGTCCTCACTTTTCTGAAGCACTGTTTATTTTTCTTTCCTCCTCTTTTACATATTTGTGCCCAACATTATTTCAGGTCCCGCCACGTTAATGTAGTAATTGTCCCAGCGCCACTCCCCCTCTCATGTCACAGCGATCGGAGGTACGTGTGAGCGGCGCTGCGCCCTCAGGCTGGAAGCGTGTGTGTGTGTGTGTGTGTGTGTGTGTGTGTGTGTGTGTGTGTGTTCATTTCGGCAGTTTTTATCATTGTTTTTACAGGGAAGCAAAACTGCTCCCAAACATGCGACTTAAACGATGCAGGTGGTTTTTCAAGCTCCTCTCCTCCTCTGCCACGGCCATCGCTGTGCTTTTCTCATTTCGATGGAACAGGTGGCGCCTCAGCCCTCCACGTGACCAATCCACGGACCATGCACGTGCCGAACCATAGAGAGATGTGCGGATCACGGATCAGTGATGATCCATTTTATCTCTAATAGCCGCTGTTATGGTCACTGAGCTTGAAGCCACCGAGCTCAGAGCGGCGCATCTCGAACGTTGCGGCGCGTCGCTAAATTTACTCTCTTGGTCTGTTTTTTTTTACATGCTGTCCTTCCAGAACACATCAAGCTCAGCAATTCAGTTTGAGCCAGACAGAAAATCAAACAAGGGAGCAGTGTAAAAATAACCAGCAAGTTTCAAAATAAAAGACACGTGTAGATTTTTTTTATTGCATAATTATTAAGAAGTTAAAAATGCATCAGCAGCAACAACCTACTTGGTGATGGTTAAAATAATAAATAAAGCACAGAACTTGTGGATGCATGCTGCTGTCCATCTTGTAATCACATGAACTTGTGAACTTGTGATCTTGCAATTCTCCCGTGACTCGGTGATGTCGAGACCAGCTGTGCGGAATGCATTCTCAGGTGCTGCGTGTTTGAAACGCTCGGGGTAGGAAAGGGTGCACCACTGGGTTCTGGGGGAAATCGTGTTATTACATTACACACTGCTAGCACATCCGGTGGAACGGGGTTAGATGTGAATATTGGGGTTTACGTGTCAGTTTGATTGATAATCCTCTTTGTTTTAAATCACATTTTCTTAAAGTGTTCATTTTTTCATAGGTTAGACGGTTTGCTGAAGCTTTCTTTTGTCTTGAACATCCAAGACAGTCTGCACTGGCATACCAGGAGCTACAGTAAGTCATACTGAACACTTTCCCTTCAGGTTAAATATGTCACTAATATAATCAGGTCTGTTTAAAATACCGTACTTTGTTATTTTCACCTCATTCTTATCTCCTTTCCTTCCTGGGTCTCTCCATCAGTGCTCACAGTCACCAACAGATGACTAACGCTATCAAGAGCTCCAGCTACTTCCTCTGTTTGCCTCCACTTCCTGTGGAATGTGCAGACCTTGATGGTGACGTTAGTTCTCTACCAATCATCTTTGAGGACAGATATCTGGACTCTATAACTGAAGGTGTGTTAAAATATTTAAATGCTCTTTATTGCATGACAGTACTTGGTTTTTTTCGTATTTCTGTGTCAGATGTGATTTTTTTTTTTTTTTTTTCAAGATCGTGACGGACCTTGGTTGGGAATGCACAATACGAGGACTGGTCCCGTTTCTGGTAAAACTGAGAAACCTAATACAAAGGATTCCAGCGCAACAGCCACCCCCATGCCCGAGTCCAGTTGCACACCTACGGATAACACCTACCTGGATCATTTTGATCCACCACCAAAGTCCAAAGGCAAATCTGTTAAGCTGAAGAAAAATTCAAAGACTGACAACTCTAAGAAGTTGATTAGACAAGGATCTAAGGACTCTGTGGTTTTAGTGGGCTATAAGAATCTTAAAGCCTCTTTTGGTGACGCCAGTACAAAGTACAAGGAAGAGGAGCCTTCGCTTAGCCAAGCTGAGGAAAGACACACCTTGCAGCAGGACTTGAGTAATGTTTTACGGACTAATGCTGGCTCTGTTTTGGACTCTGGTGGAACATTGGCACACCCTGCTCCAGATGAAAATATAACTAACCCTGCTTGTCCAATAGGTGCCTCTACTCAGGAGTCACAAAGTAAACCTCAGGCAGGTACTGGGGCTATTGCTACAAGCCAGCAAATCCAAAAAGACGAGCATGTTGACCTCAGTGGCCAAAAACTGCCACCGCTGCCTGCTGGGCTAAAGCAAAACGAGGTGAAGCCAAGTAACAAGGACCCAGTGCAAGCGGATAAGGATCTTCTAGGTCATACAGTTGGAAGTTTTAGTTGTAGTGTTCCTGAAATCCCCCAGACCAATGCTTGTGACTCTGCGGTGGATTTTGTCTTTGAAAAGCCGAGTAAAGAGGCGACGCATCGTAGTCATGGCTGCGTGGTCTCAGTACAGCTAAAGAGTGAGTGCATCAGACTGCCGGATGTGGGAGTCCCTAGTGCCTCATCTCGCCTCTCGGACTCGGGCATTGAAAGTGAGCCCAGTTCCTTTGACACTCAGCTCGTTCTAGGATCTCATGTGGGTCCAGGTGTGACCGAGTCCGGTGTTCCTGTTTCCCATGCCGTGAAGAATCCTGCTCCTCTGCCTGCTCAACAAACTGCAGTGCAAAAGCCCAGTTGTCCAGGAGAAAGTCTGTTCCCAGAAAACTCGAGTGCTGTCAGTGGAGTCCAGTCCTCCCTCACTTCCATCAATTCCCTGCCTTCAGACGATGAGGGCGAAGGCTCCTCTAAGAGCTCCGGTGGAGCTGAGGTCCGAGGCAGGAAGTCCAGTGTTTTGGTGCAGGAGCAGAGTTTGGTGTTCTCTGGAGAGGTCGATAAAATGACAGACACAATCTGCCATCCTGATGATGCTGCTGGAGATTTCCAGCTGAGAAAACCCACCTCTGATCTTGAAACGGATCCTGAGTGTTTAGAATTTGTAGTAGAGGAGGAGGCAGGTGGATCTGGGATGTTCAAAGAATCTCGTAGTGAGCCCCACACAGCCTGCCCCTCCAGTAACTCCGCCACCAGTAGCACCGACCTGGTGAAACGGGGGATGGTGGAGAACTACTTTGGCTCGCGCTCCAGCATAGATGTGTCCGAGATCAGCCCAGTAGAAACATCCGCCATCACACTGGGAATCCAGACAGGGACGCAGGTGGAGGAAGACGAGGATGAGCCTGAACATGAGATGATCGAGAATGGTTTCTATGAGGAAGGTGACGGCTATTCCTTTGTGAACGGCGTTGCTGATGATGAACAAACCGCACCTGAGATCGGAGCTGCCCAAGAGATGGGTTTTCTGTTTGAGCAGCTTGGCACTAGTTACCTTCACGAAAAGGATTTATCTACAGCTCCTCTACATTCCAGTCTGGCCACCAGCAGTGTTGGGCATAGTTTGGGTAGATGTTCCTATTCCTCCGCCTCCTTGGCTTCCAGCATAAATTGGTTTGAATGTGCACCTAGGCCACAGATGAAGGCGTGAGTCATGTTCCAGTATTTTTTTTAATCTCATAACATTTGCTGTTATTAACAGTTGGCTGTATTTGGTTCTAAACATTCAGGTTCATCAAGGCCAAGGAAGAAATGAAGCAGCTGAAGCTGCCTGGTTTCTTGTACAGTGAGCTTCCTGAGCTGGCTTCCACCGTACCTTATTTCAGCTTGGAGGAAGATGAAGGCTGTGAAGAAGGCATCCATCTCATCGTGTGTGTCCATGGCCTGGACGGTGAGACACTTCCTCAGGGTCTTTGACAACAATGTTTTTGTTTATTGTTTTTTTACAGTCATTTTTATTTAATTTTGAGAAAAAATGCCACTTGCTTTCTTGTATGACTACAGGTAACAGTGCAGACCTGAGACTTGTGAAGACCTACCTGGAGCTTGGACTGCCTGGTGCTCGCATAGACTTCCTGATGTCTGAGAGGAATCAGGTACGTGGGTTATAAACTTTAGGCTTTACCAGGCCCTTCCACCAAATGCATAAGCACCTCGTAACGCCCGCGAAGCCTAGTACGCATTAGTTAGCCGCCATTATAGTCGAAGGGCGCGGCGTTTGGACTAGTCCTAGGAGTGTAGTGATGCGTTGCTCAGCTAAATTTAAGGTTAGTCTATTCATTACGTGCTATGCTTCTGGAACACATCAAGCTCAGCAGTTCAGATAGGGCCAGACAGGAAGTCAAACAAAAAAGCAATATAAAACACTGCAAATTTTCAAAATAAAAGACTTTCTCATATTTGCATATTTCCTATTAACTCAGGGGTCGGCAGCCCGCGGCTCTGGAGCCACATGCGGCTCTCTGCTTGTAAACTAATGAATGAATATTTAATTAAAATGTAGTTTATTTTACTGCATTCATTTTTTATCTTTATGCCAATTCTAAATGTAAAGATTGTCTGCGTAAACCTGAACAGGTCCAACGTTGACAGGTCTCCTGCTCGTGCGTAACCAAATGTCTCTATAGGCGCTTTCTGAGCAGAAGAGGATGAGATTCTGGACGTTTCCTCAGACAGGCTCATGGATGCTTCGCAGTGCCGCCACATTGGAGACGGGAACAAGCGCTTTTCAGCCAAAGTTTCAGAATCTGGGAACATTTTCTAAGGGACAAGTCTCTCAGAGAGACAGGGTTGGGAAAACTCTCGCTTCAGTGAGAGGAATCCTGCATGCGGTCTGGTTCCGCGACGTGCTCCAAGCCCCTGATCTACACATCTTCAGCTCGCTGGCTGCCTTACGTGCGCGCTGACAGCGAGCTGCGCTGAGCTCAGTGTCCATCTCAGATGTTCTGATTGGAATCTTCTTGGTTGATTTAGCTACCTCTGCGATGTGCGTAACGATTAAAATGTCGGTGTATCTGCAACCTTGAGGATTCTCCGTCAAAATAAATGATCAAATACGGGAAATATCCGGTCAGTGCAAACCCTGTCATTTAACTGTTTAGCCTTCTTGTGGAGATTGTTGCCAACAGGAACATTAAACGTGATTAACACCAGAGCCATGTGCACTGCGCCGTTCTCTCCGTCACTGTAAATGAGGAAAAACACTAATTGATTGGATCCTCTTCTTACCTTTTCAACATCGTTTAATGTAAACTTTTGTTCTGTACAAAGTTTAATCACAGCAGTCCAACGAGACGGCGGGTTGGGCTGGATTTGTATTCTGAACAGTTTAAACATGTTTTAAATGGAGACATGAGTGACGCGTCACCTGCTCCACTATTAACCCCACTTACAGGGTGAAACATATCTAAATACTGTCGCACAGACGGGCTATACAACTTCTGGGTCAGTTTTTTACAAATTGTTTTATTAATTATCTTCTGTTGAAAGATAACTTTGAGGAACAAGAGCGAACGGTATTGGTTGCTGCCACCTGTTGTGATCTGTTAAAGCAGCTTTCTGCTGCGGCTCCCAGTGTTTGCTTTACTGTGGGAAACGGGTGATGATGGCTCTTTGATGGGAAAAGGTTGCCGACCCCTGACTTGTCTAGTAAAAAAAAAAAAAAAGTGCATCGTTACATGTGACGCCTCTATAGCCGAGGTAAATAGAAGGGAATATGGACTTTTTTGGATACATGCTGCTGTCTTTCGCTTTTCTTAAAGCGTGAACTGCTGAAATCACGCGAAAGCTTGCAATTCTTTTGCGATTTTGTGACCTTGCACGTCCAGCTGCATGAAATGCTTTTGCTGCAGACTGTCGTCTAACGCCCCCGGTAAAAAGGGCGGAAACGCGTCTATTACGTTACGCACCGCTTACGCATGCAGTGGAAAGATCGGCTTTGTCTTGTTTTCCTAAAGTACCCTGAACCACAGCTCCCTTGTCTTATACTACTCATCTGCAGAACGACACCTTTGCTGACTTTGAGTCGATGACTGACCGACTGCTGGATGAAATAGTCCAGTACATTCAGATATACAGCCTCACTGTGGCAAAGATCAGGTAAAATGTTCTGTTCTACCAGAAAACCAGTATTTTTTATCTTAGAAAGGCTGATGTTTATAAAAGTTCTGCATGGTAAACTGAAATAAGGTGACTTAAGCTAGAGCTGAAAACTGTTTCTACTATTATTAATTTACAGCTTTGTGGGTCATTCTTTGGGAAACCTCATAGTTCGCTCCGTGCTAACCAGACCCAGGTTTAAATGTTACCTGAGCAAGCTCCACACCTTCCTGTCTCTGTCTGGACCTCACCTGGGCACTCTATACAACAGCTCCGCTTTGGTCAACACAGGTGAATGTTGGGTGAATTTTAGAAGTTTTGATTTTTCTTAGTCTAAAAACTTAATAACTAATTGTTGAATATTAAAACTTTGTTCCTTTTTCAGGCCTGTGGTTCATGCAGAAGTGGAAAAAATCCGGGTCCCTCCTGCAGCTGACGTGTCGTGATCACTCTGACCCTCGCCAAACTTTCCTGTACAAACTCAGCAAAAAATCCGGTTAGCTCTGTTGTGTTTTTTTATTTACCGCACTTTTTTGTGAGTGGTAGACTCAGAATGACAAAGTTATACAGTATGTCTAACTTTCTTTGTGATTTGCATTTAAGGTCTGCAGTATTTTAGGAATGTGGTGCTGGTGGGGTCACTGCAGGATCGATATGTTCCCTATCATTCTGCTCGGATAGAGATGTGCAAAACGGCACTAAAGGACAAACAGACAGGTAGGGTGCAGCTCATCAGTGATCTTACTTCTCATGAGAGGTGCTGAAAAAGATCCATTCAAGTCTGAATCGGGATTCTTATTTATAAAGGTTCAGAATCGATTCACAAAGGTTCAGAATCGATTCCAGGAACTCAAATGTTTGGCACGTTACAGGTTTGAGATGCACTTTTGTCTGTTTTTGGTCTTTGTTAGGAGAGTCAGTACTCTGTTTACTTTCGTGGTCCCATAAAGTGGCATGATTTATTTTGAATCTGCTGATAGTGGGGACTAGAGTGTAATTTTTTCCATACTCGTTAATTTGAGTTATTCTCATATATATTTTCTAAGTTGATAAGTCAGGATCAGGACGACTATCAGGATTCCTCACGTGTTTATTTGAAGTTATTGATAAATGAGAGAAAACATTTTCCTTTGTAAGAAATCTGAGGCACTTATTTTTTAACAGGTTGAGGACTCAAACGTTAAACTTGTTTCCACACATACTTGAAAAGTATTTGACCGTAATACTTTCAAAGCTACTGTTACGTAACTACAGATTTGTTATATTATACAAGGTAAGCAAAAATAAATGTTGCCTTTTGGTCAAAAGATTGCTTCTGATTACAGTTTTAGAATCTATTATTCCTTGTAAATTAGCTTTTTTTGAGCATGACCAGTTTAAAGTAAAATAAAAAAATTCCCATACCTTTAACTACAGGTGCTGGCCAGTAAATTAGAATATCATCAAAAGGTTGAAAATATTTCAGTAATTCCATTCAAAACGTGAAACTTGTACATTATATTCATGCAATGCACACAGACCAATGTATTTCCAATGTTCATTACATTTAAATTTGATATTTATAGGTGACAACCAATGAAAACATCAAATCTGGTATCTCAGAAAATTAGAATATTCTAAAGGCCAATGAAAAAATGTTTGTTTCTCTAATGTTGGCCAACTGAAAAGAATGAACATGAAAAGAATGTGCATGTATAGCACTCAATACTTAGTCGGGGCTCCTTTTGCCTCAATAACTGCAGTAATGCGGCGTGGCATGGACTCGATCAGTCTGTGGCACTGCTCAGGTGTTATGAGAGCCCAGGTTGCTCTGATAGTCGTCTTCAGCTCCTCTGCATTGTTGGGTCTAGCGTATTGCATCCTCCGCTTCACAATACCCCATAGATTTTCTATGGGGTTAAGGTCAGGCGAGTTTGCTGGCCAATCAAGGACAGGGATACCATGGTCCTTGAACCAGGTGCTGGTGGTTTTGGCACTGTGTGCAGGTGCCAAGTCCTGTTGAAAGGTGAAGTCTGCATCCCCATAAAGTTGGTCAGCAGCAGGAAGCATGAAGTGCTCTAAAACTTCCTGGTAGACGGCTGCATTGACCCTGGACCTCAGGAAACAGAGTGGGCCAACACCGGCAGATGACATGGCACCCCACACCATCACTGACGGTGGAAACTTTACACTGGACCTCATGCAACGTGGATTCTGTGCTTCTCCGCTCTTCCTCCAGACTCTGGGTCCTTGATTTCCAAAGGAAATGCAGAACTTGCTTTCATCAGAAAACATAACTTTGGACCACTCAGCATCAGTCCAGTCCTTTTTGTCCTTGGCCCAGGCGAGACGCTTCTTGCGCTGTTTCTTGTTCAAGAGTGGCTTGACACACGGAATGCGACACCTGAATCCCATGTCTTTCATGAGTCTCCTCGTGGTGGTTCTTGAAGCGCTGACTCCAGCTGCAGTCCACTCTTTGTGGATCTCCCCCACATTTTTGAATGGGTTTGTCGTCACAATTCTCTGCAGGGTGCGGTTATCCCTAGAGCTTGTACACTTTTTTCTACCACATTTTTTCCGTCCCTTCGCCTGTCTGTTAATGTGCTTGGACACAGAGCTCTGCGAACAGCCAGCTTCTTTAGCAATCACCTTTTGTGTCTTGCCCTCCTTGTGCAAGGTGTCAATGATTGTCTTTTGGACAGCTGTTAAGTCAGAAGTCTTCCCCATGATTGTGGTGCCTTCAAAACAAGACTGAGGGACCTTTTAAAGGCCTTTGCAGGTGTTTTGAGTAAATCAGCTGATTAGAGTGGCAGCAGGTGTCTTCTATATTCAGCCTTTTCAGAATATTCTAATTTTTTGAGATACCAAATTTGGAGTTTTCATTAGTTGTCACTTATGAATATCAAAATTAAACGTAATAAACATCGGAAATACATTGGTCTGTGTGCATTGCATGAATATAATGTACAAGTTTCACGTTTTGAATGGAATTACTGAAATATTTTCAACCTTTTGATGATATTCTAATTTACTGGCCAGCACCTGTAACTTGCACAACAAAGTAGTTAATCCTGGAACTGACACTCTTTGTTAATATCGATTGTGAATCGAATTAAATCGAGAATCGATTCTGAATCGAATCGACACTCCGAGAATCGGAATCAAATCGTGAGTTGCTCTGAGATTCACATCCCTACTTGTCATGTCAGGAATAAATTCTGTTACAACAAGAGTCGTCTCAAGGCACTTTATAAAGTAAATGATCCTACTAATCAGTGCACTGAGTTCGGTTCATTGTGCCAAGTAGTTTAAAGTTTCCTATGTAAGAAAACCCAGCAGATTGCATCGAGTCACTGGCTTGCTGTGGCTTTAAAGTTTACAGCAATCCTCATGCTAAGCAAGCATGTAGCGACAGTGAAGAGGAAAAGTCCCCTTTAACGTGAAGAAACCTGCAGCAGAACCTGGCTCAGGATGAGCAGCCTTCTGCCACGTCTCACTGGGGTGTGAGAAGGCAGAGCAGACACACACTCATGTTTCCACTGTTCATATTCTGGGAAATATGCTGGCCCTATCCTCTCGCTCATTGTGTCTCCAAAAAAAAAAAAAGGCCCTTTAAGGACTTTGCTATGACGTCAGCATATCGGAAACATTTTGGCAGTGAGTAATGTCACTGATCAGCATGAAAAGGTCCCCACAGCCATACGTTAATGATATTAAAGATGTTTGATTTTGTCAAAGTGGGCTGTGTTTTACGCTACTCAAGGAATGTGAGAAGAGGGCGGCTCGACACGAGGAAACGCGTTTTTCTCACGGTGCTCTGTAGGAGACAAGAAGGCAGCGAAAATCCAGGCCTGGGGTATTTCCACTGCATTTTTGTGGCATTGGGAGTTATGAAACCCTGACAACTCCGATTTTTTCCCTTCCATACCACTTCACCAGCAACTCTTCCAATTTTACAAAGGCAGAGTGTTTGACGACGTCTGCCGGTGTAGTCGTCCACCGAGTTACAACCATTTAGCACAAGTTAGTCCTGCTCAGTGACTCTCCCATACCAAATCTGAGTACATGCACAAGGCAAGCACTCATTTGGTTCCTGAAATGACCCAGAAAGTGGTCCTTCTGGGTCGGCTGTCTGAAATGCAGACGCAAGCTTCCTGGGAAGGTCCGGTAAAATTACCCAGAAGTTCTGAAACGCTATTGTTTGGGTAACCAAAGGTGGTGCTCAGGTTTTTACTCTGTGCAGAAAATTTGACACGCTCATGCAGTATTTTTATGTGTAGTATCCCAGGTTTATAGAGCGAGATTTTTATGTAGATCAGAGGGACAAATTAATGTCTTATAGTTTCAATCTCCTATCAGACAAAATAAACCTCATATGTGATTAATTTCAGTTGCCTTGTCTTGCCTCTATCAGGGCCTGTGTATGCAGAGATGATCGAGAACCTGCTGCTGCCAGTTCTTCAGAACGAAAACTGTAATCTCGTAAGATATGATGTCATTCACGCACTGCCCAACACAGCCAACTCTCTCATTGGTCGAGCTGCACACATTGCTGTCCTGGATTCTGAGATCTTCCTGGAGAAGTTCTTCCTTGTTGCAGGCCTCAAGTACTTTCAGTAGACCTGCATCCCAGTTCCAGACATGGACGCCAGGAAGTGGAACGTGGCTCTAATACCTCACTGCAGTTAATGTTATTCTGATGGTGGTCTCTTGATAATCTAATCATTTCTCAAATACAGTTTAATTATTGTTTTTTATGTTCATATTGTAATCATGATGGATATGGAGTTCATTTTTATTTTTCTATTGTAATTTTTTTTAACATTAAAATTTGTGTTTGGGGAAATAATTTTCCCTTTCATGTTAATTTTTTAGTGTTATTTATGTCTTATGTTATGTATTTTTCTTTTACTCCAAGGTAATCAAGAAATTTTCAGACTCTGAACTGGAATTATAGCTGCTACAAAAATGAAATGGCTGTTTTTGGTGAGCCAGCCCAAGTCAAGGCCGCACACACGGCTCTCAGCACTCACCAGTTTTAAAAGACACTGCATTGATTTGCACCACAACTACATTTTACAAGCTTTTGTACTACATTTGTACAAGTTCCTTTTTTATCAATTGTCCATCACTTTTTAAGGCAAAGATTGCATTTGAAATAGGATTGTTGCTCAGATTTTGCAGCTCTGGCTTTGATCTTGATGCTGTTGCTGCACATTTACCCAGCCTGGTGTTGGGAGAGGAAAGCTTTACCTAGAACATGACACTTTATTACAAGGGTTCTAAACTATGATCACTGTTCAGAAATAAGCACACGTTGGTTTTTATGAAATTGTCAAACGCAAGTATTTAGTCGATTATTTGGTGATGATTTATGTGTTAAACTGGAAAGTATTGGTTGGATTTAACAAATGGTTTTCTGAGCAGTTGTTTATTTATATATATATATATATACACACATTGTACTCAAACAATAAATATGCATATTTTAAAGTTTGATTTGTCCATTTTTTTATGTTCATGATTTGAACAGATGTATTTGATGTCATACCTGCCAAAATAATTTAACCTGACAAGTTTTAGATTTATTTTTTTAACAAGAATATTTTACATTTTACATAATTATTTAATTTGTTAGCTTACAGATTTTCCACAGCATGAGCACCGAGTCCCATTTTTTTTACTAAAATGAAGGATTTCATTAAGCTCAGATTCACACTATCTGTGCCATGTCTAGCATGGCTCCAGCAGTTTTCATTAGGTTTGGTTTCTAATTGTTTTGTCTCCTAAATGATTGCTTTGTTGGTGCAACAGACAAAACAGCCCTGCAGGTGGCAGTGTTAACATAGTACGTTAAGTCTGAGGATGAATAAAGGCATGCAGCTTTATTTAATTGGTGGTGGCATCTTCCTGGTCCTTAGGAGCCACTGCCCCAGCACATTCGATGCAATAATTGAATGACATATTTACCAGGTCCTCGAGCTCTGTAGAAGTCTCGACAGTTTCAAAGCATGCATGGAAACAACATGCAAGATGGTGGCCCTGACGAATGAGAGGGGCCACACGAAATATAATACTTGCACTAAATTTACTCTACCTGAATTAATTCTGAGCATAATCTGGCATGCTTTATGCAAATGGAGTTGTTATTTAAAGCCCTTGCAAACATTACTGGCTGTACTAGTTAGTGTTAGCCATTTTAAGGTTCTATGTTCTTGACCGGCCACTGAAACTATGGTCACTAAGTACTCGCTCAGATCAAAGTGATATACTGCCAGTACTCGTCTTTTTGAGTTTTTTATTTTGTCTTAATTATAATAAGGCGGACCAACTGTTATCGTACTGAAATCGACTTTGAACATGGATTAAGTGTGTTGCATTTTGAAGTGGTGTTTAAAATATTTTTTCAATTGGGCGTCAAAGTTTCAGAGGATCACAGATTAAATCTCCATATGGTTCTGACTAGTCAAAAAGCACCTAATACATATTAAATTGTGATATTCTTATGTGATATATATTATATTAAATACAGTTAACATATCATCACAGATATATTTATGCAATGCCAAGTGTAAATTGTACGTGCAAAAGATTAACCAAACAGTTTTTGCCAAAAAATGTTTGGTTAATCATAAACATACGTCTGTCCCTCCAATTAACCCCACTTTTTGGTGGTCTGCTGGGGTTGGAGGAACTAGATTATGGGTCACAGCAAACTTCTGCCTCACTCTGTTTGCCCAAGTGGTATTAAGAGAATTATGTCTAAATGTGCATCTTCCTCGCATCAAACGACAACATGTAAGGATGGTTATTCTGTTAAAAGACAGACAAGTGGTCAAACATGTGATTTTAAAAGAAAACTTGTCTCAGGTCTGAAATGGAATTAAGGCTGGGCGACACGTCCTAAAATCAATATGACATATTGAGGATAATGCGCAGAAATAAAAGTTGTCCGTTGAGCCACGTTGTCACGTGACTCGCGGTAGTACAGCTTCTTAAAGGGACATGAACGTCACCAATATTCCCATTTTTATTATTATCGAATTTATTGACACGGAGAAAACGATACTGATTAGAATCAGAAATGTTGATGATAAAATATTTATTTACTGCGCAGCCCTAACTGGAACATAATTATATTACCTACATTTAGAACCGTTTCGTCACATTGAAAATGAAAACTGCTTAGAAGTTGTGATATGCTACCATGTTCACTTTCAGTAAATCTAAATCCTAAATTTAAACCTAATAATAAATCTGAGCATAGGCTACATTTTAAACCTAAATGTTAAATCTAAATTTTAAATCCAAACTGTAAATATAAATCTTAAATGTAAATGTAAATCCTAAAACTAAATGTTAAATCCAAATCTAAAAGTTTAACTCTAAATGTTACAGTTTTAAGCGATTTAAAATTCACAACAGCATAAACAATCGTCTGTCCCGCTAATAGAACAGCTCGCCGTGAGCGAGGGGTGAATGCAAGTTAAGTTATTTTTCTAATAATATTATATTGAGCTTATTACAAGTTAAAGTAATAAAACCAATTATCAGTATATTTTATCTACAATATTTATTTAAAGATATTTTAAAAAGAATACGCGAAAGTGTTTTTAAACTTCCAACACAAAACTTAGCACCCCCACAAATGATCCCTGGTGGTATGGCCCGTTCACTGGAGCTCCGGGGTTGTTGAAAGTCTTGCAATTTCCAAACAGTTAAAGGAGGTTGATTCGGAGTTTTCCTCTCTTACTGTTAATTTATGAACCGCTTTTAAAATTCCTTCACTAATTCAAGTTACCTACAAGAGAAATGCGAGTTTCTTAGTTTTTACATCTGATAGTAAGTAAACGTGAGCTCCTTTTTTCCTTGTTTAAACTTAAGAGTTTTGCACTTGTTTCCATATTTATCCACGACTACCCTTCTACCTTTCTTTTGGAACGAGAACAGGTACATTACACTATATTTTTCTGCTCTTCCTGGTTTGTTTCTGTTTCCTATCTTTCGCAATTAAGCTACGCTATCTGAAACTGATAAAAGTTGCGAATTAAGTTGCGCCTGTCAGGATTCTGACGCAAACCTGCACCCCTAACCCCAGTAATGTGGCTCATCCTTTTAAAGTGGGGTGCGTGAACACGGTGTTCCCCCGTTTATGCTAATACCTCCTGTATCTTTTCTTGTGTGGTTTAAGGGGGCTGCAGCGGGGATTCCTGCTTGCCAAACGCAGACAGGTGATGTTGTTTTCCGCTCTAACCAGCAGTGGGGATTATACTGGTCTTGGAGAGGAATTACAGCATACAGATGGCTGCTCTCATGTGATATCAGGCTGTTTTAAAGATGTCAGCAAACATTGTTCAAAGGGATGCTCAGCTTGCTTTTTTATTTTATTTTTTTATTTTTTTGCAGCTGTGTGCAGAGGAGGCCACTAAAGTTTCAAGAAATGTGCTGTTTTTCCACTTATTTCAGTTCTATTCTGATGAAACATGAGTTTTCATGCTATCTGTTATTTTTTCTATTGCTCTAATTCATTAAATTAATTTGTCATAAAAATCAAGTTTTGCATCATAATATATTAAGAAACCTCATTAAGACATTATATATATATATATATATATATATATATATATATATATATATATATATATATATATATATATATATATCATTGAGGAGCAATAAATCACCTAAAACCTGACATCTGAAAGCCATGTATGTCTTAACTTTTCATTTTCTTCTTATAAACACAGTTGGTGTTACTCTTTTGTGATTTGATATCTCACATGGTATTGCGTTAAGGAACAGGAGGAAATGTCTGCAACTGAAATGATGGAAGCCAGATCTAAAATGAGATAATTAATTACATTAAAATTGTGTCTCTGCGGTTGAGTTTTGCACAATTTATAACCTTTCTACTGTTTAGTAAAACAGTCCAGGATTACTGTGTGTTAGCTTCGATGTTCATGCTACTGGAATTTCAGGTTCTTTTGTCTGTTTGTCCTGACACCCAATCATCAGCAAGGCCGTGTTTGAACATGCCCAGAAAACATATTCGGTAGGATGTTCGAGTCAGCAAGAAGCCAGAAAAAGTCTTCCCTTAGTAGTTCACACAACTTGTTGTGCACCTTTTCTTGTGGTTTTATCTCATTTGGGAGATATTTTTTTGTTTTTTTCCAGAATTGAGGACAAAACACCATGATACTTTATTCATAAAACCAACAAATTAATTTACACTCAAATAAAACTGAATATTGCGAGAAAGAGCAGCATTGAGGTTGTTTTTATTTAAAAGCAGGCTGCTTCAGTTACAGTTCTTAATTCCCCTGTGGTGATTTATTTTGTCTAAAGTGGGATTTGGAGGGATTAGAGTTGGCACACGGCTGTAATTAACCTGATTAATTGATTCTTAGACATACCAGTTGGGGCTTTAGGTCAGAATAATAAGGCAAGATCCAGCCGATCCTTAGGCGCTTATAGAACCATCTCTGCCTTGGCCTTCTCTGTTTGTGATTTAAACACAATCCACTTCAAGACAAGTATATTTTTATGTCTGATTGGTTTCAGGGAAGGCATTTTAGGAATAAAGAACATTGAATATAATATTTGCCATTTCACTCCCTCGAGATAAACCGCACTGAAGTGTTTGCTTGCTGTGTCCAGTTTTTGGAGGCATCTTTGAGTTAAGCTTACGTTTCTAACGCTCTGTTGTGGTTAAGGACACTGCATACTTGTTGCATTGAGTCATTTTTCCAACTGATCTTACCCAGACGTCATCTTGGCATTTCAGATCCAATATGGATGAACTGGGCTTGATGTGAAGAACAGAAAAAAGCAGGAACACCTGTGAAGCAGTTCATTGTGGTTACAGCTCACGTCACAGACGTTTACGGGACATCATGTCTGCCAAACTGGAGAGGACCGTTTGTGTTCTCCTTCCAAACAAGAAACAGTTGGATATTCGTGTCGGGGTAAGTGCTTATTGTTTGACTCAGCTACATGTGTGGTTTGAGTTCATATTGAAAGCTGATTTCTAAAGAAATATTTTCTTATTTCAGCCAAAGTCTACAGGGCAGGATGTCTTTAGTCGTGTAGCAGAACTTCTTGGAATCAAAGAGCTGTACTTCTTTGGCCTCACAGTGTTGAAAGGTAAGTTTACTCAGCGCTGATGCTTGAACCTGTAGGGATTCCTGACACTAGTGTAAGCAGAAGCAAGGAGAAACCACATTTTAAAGAGGTGTTTCCATTTTCATATGGGGTTTTTTTTATGTAAAAGAAAAGTATTAAAAGGGACATAATATGCAAAAACTCAATTTTTTCCATCGTTTCTTGCTGCCATGTGGGTCTGTACTGCCACTTTAACCTCTCCAAAACTTGAATAAAAAACATCCATCCATTGTCAGTGGAATTAATGTCCCTAAAACAAGCAGTTTCAAAAAAGTCCCCTATTGTGATGTCATAACTCTACTCCAAGCCCCTTCCTCACCACTTACCGGCCAATCAGTGGATGGGTGGGCATGGCCATCAACAGCTTGTTTTCTTAAAAGGACATCGCTCTGAAATGGCTCGTTCTAGAAGGTGCTGAAAATGTCAAGAATAAATTAGCTGAAAATGGTTTATTTGACGGATTTTGCTCAAAGAACTATATGAATATGTTTGGAATAGACCAGGTGTACCCTCGAGATCCTCTATCCAGCATGTTTTACTTGTGTCCCTGCTTTAACATGCCTGATTTGAATCGGTGATTAATGGGCTTCTGTAGAGTTTGGTGACCTGCTGAAGAGGTGATGCAGCCATTGAATCAAGTGTGTTGGAGCAGAGAAACAACCAAAAAATGCTGTTTAGGGGCTCTCCAGGACCAGGGTTGGCACAGCTGGTATAAACCATAGAACTGTTGTGACTTTAAAGAGTAAGTCAACCCCTACCAGATTCTAACTCCACTCCCACTTCATGTTTGAAAAATGCAACAAATGCTGTTGCCAGGCAGATCTAGAGGGCGGAGCCGCTAACAAATACACACACACAGGCTCACAATGGCATTATGACATCATAATATACCAGATGACATCATAGCATACCTCTTAGCCAATAGCGGTGGCAGATTTAAATTCAAATACAGTGCAGAATTTTTCCCTGACGACGGCGCAACACTGACCGTTTTAGGCAGAATATTTGAATTTTAACCAAGATGCACTGAACTGCCAAATTATTGACTACACGTGTCTGTAGCATGATTAGACACTCCTTTATATAGTTTATCAGCAAAAAAAATGTGATCTGGGGGTGACTTGCTCTTTAAAAAACATCACACGTGCCTTTTAACATTTCATCTGGGCAGCCTCAGTTTGGAGAAATGGTGTACATCCAAAAAAAGGTAATGAGCTAATGGCTTGGCCTAGAAATCTAGACAGACAGTAGACGAAGCAAAACGCTTCCGCTCTGCATCTTGGTCTAGCGCTCGGTTTGAACTTGGACTAATCCTGTGCGACTTTGGCTCACATTTGAACTCGATCACTCGGGAACTGGAGATGATAATTTAACTACAACAGTTAGTGGTCCCTGAGGACCAGATTACCTCTGGGCTGATCCAAAACAACCAAGATATAAGTGGATTGTTGCCATCTTAAAACTGCAACAGTCTTTTAACATTCAGAAGATAAAGCTGTCTGCGCATCATTCACTCAGGTTGGCGCTCGACAGCTGGAGGACATCCAGAATGAGGAAAAGTGGAGCTGGAGCACTCAAATGATCATAAGTACCTTTAATAGCTGCAGACAAACAAAACTAACCTTTCAGCGCCTTATGTGTCAGAGACTAACCCCCAAATTCCACTACCTCCGCCGCAGCCTTCCGCAGCCGCTCGCTTCCAAACTAAATTTTTACTGCTACCCGCTCTACAACGGCTCCACTCCGGTGCGGAGACCTGAGGTGGGCAAACAAGCATGCGCGGGATTTTCGAGATCTTGCGATACAGTCCGAGCAATAAACGCAGAAGTTAGATCCAAACACCTGTTGTGTGGGAGAAGCATCGAAATGAACTGTTTAATCTGCCCATCATTTGTGTTGAGAGATCAGCAGTGTTTGGATCAACAAAGTGTGACTACTTTGATAGTAGAAACTGTATTTATGGCTTATTTTTGTGCATTTAAACTTCAGCCGCCATTGATAGTTGTTAAAAGTTGTTAAACCTGTGCATATGAAACAAAAAACGCCTTTTGTTTATCGATTTATTGTGAAATAACGGAAGTTGTGCTTGCTCCCTTTCCTGTTGGGCGGTTGTGATTCCTGTCCATTTACTGCGGAGGTGCTCCGGCGTCCGGCAAAAATAGGATCGATTCTATTTTTGCCGGATGCCGGAACAGAGGGCGGCACACGGCCGCAGTAGTGGAATAGCTCTGACTGACTACAACGGGACCGCTTTTGCTGCGGAGTTCGTGCCGGAGGGGAGCGGAGTGGAGGTAGTGGAATTTGGGGGTAAGACACATAAAAACGTTTGTTTGTTTGTTTGTCTGCAGCTATTAAAGGTATTTATACTCATCTGAGTGCTCCAGCTCCACTTTTCCTGAGTCTTTAAGTTATTTTAGTATTTCTTCCATATGGTGTTACATAAACCTTTATACCACTGTCATGCATTACTTGTGTGTGTTTACACAGAAATCTTAAAGTCCTGCCAGATTTGACCCCATGGGAGTTCTATATCCTTGCTGCGGCAAGAGCCAAACATGTAAATAATCACAGTGTAAAGAGTTACTAAATAATATTTGCAAGACTTGTGAAAGTTTGTAAGAGGAAGCAATCAAGACTAGCAGATGGATCATGAGTCTTGAAGGCTGTTTTTCCAGCCAGAGGCCATTTGAGCCGCTAGCTACTATGTGTAATATGTAAATTATTTATCGTTCTCATACAAGACCACAGTTTAAACAAGCCGATCCCTCCCTTTAACACTGAAACATGGTTCCTGCTTACACTGCAGAACGGCGGTTTTGCAGCAGTTGCACTTGTTTATGTTTTTTTTTTTTTTTGCATCAACTTTTCAACCACAAGGCTATTTAACTAAAACAAAAATGATTATTGTGCCCTGACAGTTTGAATAATCGGCTGCTCTAATCCACTTTAGCCACAGAGCAAAGTCCGGAGCTTTCTGTTTTCCGTGTTTGACAAATGCGTCGCAATGCCTCAGTAATCTCGTGTGGCTCGCTGCTTGAACAAACAGCCTTTTGTTTTTGATGGTGTTGGTTCAGCGATCACTCGGGCCGGGATTCCTGCAATATTATTAACTTCATTAATGCTGGAATGCACCCGTGCATTCCTCTGCCTCGCTGCCTGCAGGTTACGCTCTGCAGGCTGATGAGGTTGATGATGGGAAGAGGAGGGTGGGAGTAGGGGTGAATGAAGGGTGGCTGGGGGGGGGGGGGGGGGGCTGTCATGACACAGACTGCGTCACTCATCTGTGATTCAAAGGCGTCAGTGTGGGAGGGGACGCGAGGGAGGCTGAGTGAGTCAGAGTGGGGAGATGAGATGGATGGAGCGTGTTGGGAAACTCACGGCCGAGTAGAAGGAATCAAGGGGAGAAAACCGGGTGCCTAGGCCATGACTCAGAGCCACGCAGAGAGTGGTACCGCACCGTCGTGCTCCTGCACACGTGCCGCGCTTAAATCTGGATCTGAATTTAGTTGGACTTTGTGTCTGCTGTTGTCAACTGGTGCTAAATGAGTCAGGCCAAAGAAATGGTAGCATCAAAGCAAAGGGCGACAGACTGAAAAACGTTTTTATCCCACCGCAGTCGGAGCATCAACAAGCAATGCAACCACAGTAGATTATTTCTTATTCGTAAGTTTATCTTTTATGTCTTCTACCTCAAATGTTTTGTGTTTTTTATTGATTTCATAGCTTTTTGTCCCCGTGTGTTTTTTATATTCTATGTTTTTTTAAGCTGCGAGGAGTTCACCTCATTTTGTTAAAATGACAAGATAATCTGTTCTTTTCTAAATAAATTCAAGTTGGCTGATTTGTTTTCACCTAAACAACACTGCTACAAAGCCCAAGGCTCAGTGTGCCGTTTAAAACGGTTGCATTAATATCGAATGTCCTTGTCATAACTTCCTGTTGGCCTGGTTGGAAGAAAATTGAAGAATAAGGTCTTTCTTTTGACCCCTAATGAATGCCATTGTCTGGCCAATCATACGCTCCGTTTCTTTGTTGTTTCCTCCTCTAACTCTTCATTTTCCTCCCCAATTTTCTATTTCCATCCCAGACAACGAACACATATTTTTAGACCTGGAAGAGAAGCTGACCAAGTACTTTCCCAAGGACTGGAGGCAGGATTCAGGGAAGGTAAAGCAACGTTCACTCTACAAGAACACTTGATGTCACTGAGAAGCTTTTTGATTTGCTCCAGTTTACGGTGTGTTAGAAATGTCAGTAAACTGGAGGCTATTCTCGCCCCTCATGCTGCTTTTTCAATTTTAAACGTGCCAAAAGCGTCCATGAAGTTCGTCTCTTCCTGCAGGCATCTCTGAGGAGACCCTTTCCTCTGCTCCTCTTCCTCAAAGTGCAGTACTATGTTGAAAATGGAAGACTCTTTTGGTAGATATAACTTTTGCTTGTTTAGAAATGGCACATTTTTTTGTTTTTGTATACATTTTGATATGTTTTGAGGTTTTATTTTTGTGGAGAAAGGAAAACAAAATGTGTTTTGTGTGGAACCAGTGAGCGGAGGGCGCGACACTTGTACTACTCTGACTTGCGGGAGCGAGTTCTACGATCGGAATGTCGTCAGCAGGAGGAAGTGTATTTCCAGCTGGCAGGTTACGCTCTGCAGGCTGACCTCGGCGATCACTCCCTGCAGAGGGAGGGCTTGGAGGTCACCCCATATTTTCATCCCAAGGACTACTTCCCCCCCTGGGTAGGTGTTTTATTTATTTATTTATTTATTTGTGGAAGCACATTTTTGTAAAACTTTGTATAAAACATCCGACCCCACACTTCAGTTCCGTTTTTATCACCTGCAGATCATAGCTAAACGTGGAGTGGATTATCTCCTCTGCCACGGACCCAAAGTGCACCAGGAGCTGTGTGGAATGTCTCCTCGTGATTCCATCCTCAGCTTCATCAGAGATTCGTGTCAGCTGGAGGATGTACCCGTCACATTTTACAGATTACAAAAGGTTAGAGGTCACTTTTAGATTTCATCTCTACGCTCTCTGGCCACTTCATTGGGTACACCTTTCTTGTACCCGGTTGGACTGCCTTTTGCCTTCAGAACCGCCTTACTCCTTTGTGGCATTGATTCTACAAGGTCCTGGAAACATTCCTCAGAGATTTTGGTCCATATCAACACGATAGCATGACACAGTGTCTGCGGATTTGTCGGCTGCATCCGTGATGCGGATCTCCTGTTCCACCGCATCCCAGAGGTGCTCTATTGGATTGAGATCTGGTGACTGTGGAGGCCATTTGTGCATTGTCATGTTCAAGGAACCAGTCTGAGATGATTCAAGCTTTATGACATGGTGCGCTATCCTGCTGGAAGTAGCCATCTGAAGATGGGTACGCTGCGGTCAAAAAGGTCATAAAGGGATGGACATGGTCAGCAACAATTCTCAGGTAGGCTGAAGTGTTGCAACGATGATCTATTAGTACTGAGGGGCCCAAAGTGTGCCAGGAAAATGTCCCCCACACCATTACACCGCCACCACCAGCCTGAACCATCGATACAAGGCAGGATGGATCCAGCTTTCATGTTGTTGCCAAATTCTAACCTACCATCTGAATGTCGCAGCAGAAATCAAGACTCATCAGACCAGGCAGCATTTTTCCAATCTTCTATTGTCCAATTTTGGTGAATTGTGTGTGGTCTTCTGCTGCTGTAGCCCATCTGCCTCAAGGTTCGACGTGTTGTGCGTTTCAAGATGCTCTTCTGCATACCTCGGTTGTAACAAGTGGTTATTTGAGTTACTGTTCCCTTTCTATCAGCTCGAACCAGTCTGGCCATTCTCCTCTGACCTCTGGCATCAACAAGGCATTTGCACCCACAGAGCTGCAGCTTAATGGATGTTTTCACTTCTTCAGACCATTCTCTGTAAATCCTAGAGATGATTGTGAGTGACGATCCCAGATGATCAGCAGTTTCTGAAGTACTCAGACCTGTCCATCTGGCATATACAACCATTGCACATTCAGTCACTTAAACCACCTTTATTCCTCATTCTGAACCTCGGTTTGAACTGCAGCGGATCGTCTTGACCATGTCAACATGCCTAAATGCATTGAGTTGCCACCATGCGATTGGCTGCTTAGTTATAATGAGCAGTTGGACAGGTGTACCAAATAAAGTGGCCAGTGAGTGTATATTTGCATTATTAGTTAAATAGATTTTTTCCCAGGAAATAAAATCTTTCCTCCGGCTAAATAACAAAATAGCAGTTACGTAGCCCTCCAGCTATTTTATCTTCCGTGTCAGAGCAGCTCAACTGTTGGGTAATATTTTGAAAGTTGTACTTATTTATTTTTATTTTTTTAAATAAAGGAGCACGCTTTACACGAGCTGTTAGCATCAGCTCAGCATTACCCCACGAGCTATTAGGGAGGCTTAACTGTGAAAAAGTTATCTTATCTGAGCCCCTCGGATGCTTTTCTGACATTTCATCGTTTTTCGCTTTTTTTTGTGCTTTCAGGACAAAAGGGAGGAGAAAGGAACAGCGTTGCTTGGTCTAACCCTGCGAGGAATGCAGGTTTATCAGGTGCGTGTATACGGGTGTGTTGTATTAATTTACAGCTCATAACGTCAGCAGATGTGTACACAGGACGTGGTTCTGCGTTTGACCAGAGATTCAGTCTTTGGCTGGCTGTGCGAGGAATGTGTGGGATTGCTACCAGCGTCCATCAGGAGATAGCTGCCTGCCGTGGCTGTCAGTTGTTTGATCTGTCCATCTGGGGCCGTCTGGGGGGAGGGATTAGCACACCAGGCCTGACTAATTTAAATGCCAACAGACCGTGAGATATCTGGTGAAGCCCTTGGCCTGTTTTAAGTCCAGATGGCTCCAAAAATCTACAATAACTTATGTATCCCTTATGTTGAGACGCAGCTAAGCAGATGAGATGTTCAACCTTCAGGGATATTTGAGTTAAAGGTGGTGTGCATGTGCGTGTTTACAGGAGGTGAACAACACGCGACAGCTGCTGTATGACTTCCCTTGGTCAAATGTTGGACGTCTAACTTTCCTGGTATCAACACTCTTCATCTGCTCATTTCCATTCCACATTAAGATTAGTCCTTGTAATTATTTAAAGGGCACTTACAACGTATGACCTATTGTTTCCTTCAGGGTAAGAAATTTGAGATCCAACCAGATGGCTTGCCATCGGCCAGGAAGTTGGTTTATTACACCGGCTCATCGTTCCGTTCCCGCCACCTCCTGCTCCACCTGAGCAGCAGCCATCAGCTCTACCTCAGCCTCCAGCCTGCTCTGAAACGCCTCCGTCAGCTGGAGGAGAGCAAAGGTGGGCATGCGAGGACGAAGATGACTGTTACATTTGTTTAAAGGTTTTGTGCACATTTTCTGTCATGGAAGTTGCAGCCGTAGCCTTTTCCATTATAGGAGTGCTGAGAAGTTTCTGCGATGGGGGAAGGTGGCAGGGAAAATACTCTGGTTCTGTTCTCTCAGCTGTTTTGTTTCTGAACAAAATCAGCCTTTCAGGACTTTGCTAAGATGTCAGCTTACCGTAACCATTTCAGCAACGAGTGACATCACTAATCAATGCCAAAAGGAGTCTACAGACATTAATAACATAAAAAAACGTTCTCTTCTGCCAATATATGCTTTCACGTAATCAATTCAGGGGACTAGGACTAGCTGTGTGATATAAGAAAGTGGCGTATTGCTGTTTTTTACAAAGCTCTGTAGGAGACCACAAAGTGCTGTGAATCACAACTTTTAGGGGGCGTTCCACCTCGCTTTCCAGCTTTTGGACTTTAGAAACCGTGATTTTAAAGCGGCGTCAAATGCTGGTTGTTTGGTGATGTGGCCCAGCAACTCTACTGGGTCATCTCCTAGTCCATACCTCAGTGCAGGCCCTCGCTTTGCTCCTGAAACCTCATGGAAAGTGGTGCTTTTGGGCCGGCCTGGTGAATGGAGACACACTCATGCCTCTGTAATTACCTGGAAATTCCGACGGTGGAAATGGGCCTGGCTTTTTTATTTTTATTTTTTTTCATTTTGCCAAGTCAGACAGCAAATAATGCTAAAGTATAGTTAGACACGAAGCTATAAAGTTACAAAGTTTAGCAGTCAGCCAAGGTTTTCTAATGTCACATTTCTTTCTTTTAGAGAAGAAAAGCTATAGAGAGTCGTACATCAGTGACGACCTGGATTTGGACCCACCAGGAAGCGAGAGCAGTCCCGGTCTTTCCCGGCGCTCCACCGGCAGCTCCGGCATTGAAGCTGATGCCCGTCAGCACGGCGTCTACGCCGAGGTGACCTCCCTGGAGGGAGAAGCTCCACAGCAAGGAGAGAAGTGTTTGAGCTCAGCCACCAGCCGCAGCAGCTCCTGCACCTCTGGTTCTCACACGGGCCCTAAGGCTCGACCGTGGAGAGAGGAAGGTGAGAAGAATCGGCTGCTTTTGTTTGTAGAATAAAATTAGTCAACCGCTTCACACCCAACTCCGATATGAATAGATGGTTATTCTAACATAACGACCTTGCTCCAGAGACCAGCGTTAGAAGTCCAGACAGTCTTCATGGTGGCGATCCTAATGAGATGTTCCAGTTGGCCGATCTCCTGGAGGGAGTGTCTGTGGATTGTGCTGAACTTTCCTCAGAGACTTTAACATTAGGTATCGATAATGAATGATTTTGTTTAAAAAAACAACAACAATAAAGTTAAAAGAATAACCTGCTTTTATTCTGAAACTCCACAGATAACAAAGAACATCCTGCAGGTGATGATGAAGACATCGGGCTGCTAACGAACAAGCAGATATCTGAACAGGTCAGCCACACAGCGGCTTATCTTGATTGCACTTCTTTGGTATTCTTTATTGCATATGTTACTGTTTACACATTATTATAATGGTAGGCGCAGAAATCCACGGACCAGGTTAGCGCGGACCGGCACAGCCACAGCCTAGATGATGTCCGTCGTTCCCCACCTCCTGCACTTCTCGGAATACCACCCGATTCCTCTCACAGCTGCAGCTTTGGGCTGCCAGATGTCACTCCTAACACGCAGAAGTCTGTAGACCTCCGTTACTACCCCCTTTTGCACTCCCAATCCAAGCCTTTCTTCTACGGTCGCAGGGCCGACAACTGCCTCTCTCTGGACATGTTAAATGATGATCAGTTCCTGGAATTCATTCTCTAATGCTGCTGCATAAGCCTTATACGTAACGTACAGCACATTTATTATCAAAGTTGCCAACTTTCAGTTTTTGGTGTGACACTGAAAATGCTGAGACTCATCAGGTTTTCTCCCCAAAATCTGGTGGCTTGGAAAACATCAACAGAAGCATATTTATTACAATTGTACATTTTGTACATACCTTTTATAAGTCTACTTTAAAACTTTTCAGAATAAAATGTATTATTTTTTTTGTAAAGTCCACATTGTCAAAAAATCTGATGTGTTGCATGAAATTAGTTTTACGTCCATACAATGTCACGCTACTGGATATTTGGACATTTTAAATGTACGTAGAGTGGCACTGTGATGGATATTTATATATTATGTGGTTTTAATCATTTTTGTAAACAAACTTGCTGTGTTTTATTCAGAATTTCCAAAAGCCATGATGTGAATTAATGTTCATTTTTTAAATCATGTTTTAAATATACAGTTTTGTATCGTGTGATCGGTCATGCTTTTGTTATTTAGTCTTTGGAACCATGGCCTCTGATTTGGTAACGTGGGCCTTTCACTGCCGACAATGCATTCATCCAAATCCTTCCCTTAATTACACAGACGAAGGTCTTATTTGTGGAGCAGTTCTTTAATCAGTCAGGAGGGTTTCTGAGTTATGTAACACGTGAACTAAAGGCTTTTATGGGATGTTTTCCCCTCATATTTACAGCTTGTGTGTCTTTGATCTGTACCGATGTCAATGTGGTCAGAGAAAGTGTAAATACTGTTTTTTACGACAGTCTTTAACTCTTCTGTAAAATATATTTTATAAAAACTGTGAAAATAAATTTATAATGGTCCAAATAAAACTCATGTTCCGCACTGATAAACGCTCATTAGCATAATGGGTTAAAAAAAAGGCTGCACAGTGCACACGTTACTATTTATATTTTATCAACTCTCGCGAGATTTTAGAATGACGTTTACGGAAGTTTTCATTCGTCCGTGAAAACGTGTTGCTGATGGCACTCTTTAGCTGAAAGCCGGTCGTTGGCTAAGTTAAAATAGTTTGTTTTCTGGACGGAAACAAAGTGATGAATTCTCTCTTAATCGCCGCCGTCCTGGGCAGCTCCCCCGACTACAACAGTTTGTTTGAATCGTTGTTGTGGCCGAAAGAGACTTGGCCGGAGACGGAACGGACAGATGCGCTGACAGCACTCGTTGAAGGGCTCGGGCCACTTCTGTCTCATTCCGATTCAACTTTGCTAACAGACGCAGCCAGACTTTGCGTGCAGTCCAAAATCGAATCAATCATTTGGTCGAATTGTTTTCCTTTCCTCTCCAGATTATCGACTGAAGAGGATGATGCTCGCTCCAGGGAGAGCACAGCTGCCGTCTGCAGACTGATCCGTGCCTGCGTCGCTTTGTGCAGCGAAAATGTACAAAAGCGAGTCATTTTATCCGTTTTGCATTCTTTCCAGTCGTCAGAGGAGGATGGAGATCGTGTCAGTGTGCGGGTTGCTACAGAGGTTTTAGCAGTTCTTATGCCTTTCCTTGCAGCCGATGAACATCTCACACTCGGCACCTTGAACTCTGCCTTGGCCATCATCAGATCTCTCCCTGACGCTCCACTGGTCTCCAGGATCACAGTCAGGATTATTTTAATGTTGCTGAACTGCTGCAGCAGTTCGAGCTATGCATCCAGCAGCGTCCTGAAGCGCGTCCTGGATGAGCTGTGCAGCTGGGACAACACAGAGCGGACCCTGATGTGTCTCACTGTCCTGTCAGACCACTTCCTGAGCCATCACAGCCCCGCTGATCCTCGCCTGTCTCCTCGGTTCTGGAGGACGGTGCAGGATGGACTGATTGACAGAGACAGCGTGTCGCGAAAGAGAGCCTTATACCTGCTGAAAAGATGCGCAGCTCTGTCTGAGGAGGATGACTTCAACTGTCTACAGTCGTCATCAGAGAAAGGTGACATGCTTCAAGTTTAGGTGTGCAGATTTAAGTATTTTGTAACATTTTGTACTCTTCAGCAGATATGTTGTTCAAATGGGCTGCAGACAAGAGCAGGCTGCTGAGGGAGTTTTGGGAAGATTATGTTCTGGTGATGGAGACTCTAGAGGAAAACCAGGTAAAATGACGTGAGCAGGTAAAGGTAGGACACCTACCTAGTGCGGATTTTGGTCAGCAGAGCAGGGCTGCAGAGTGGTGTCAAATATAAAACTGGCTAAGTATGGGGTGTCAATAGTAGTCAAACAGTTATAACTTGACAGCAATATTTTGAGTTATTTAGCTTATCATAAGAGAAAAAAAGGGAGTTCGTTTTGCAAAGTCAAATTTTCACCGTATTTTCCCAACTAAATCCTTATTTAGCAAGCTAAAAGCTTAATTTAGAGTTGTACGTGTATTTTATATTCTAAATATTTAGGTCACACCTAGAAATTTAGTTTGTAAAAAATAAAAATTTTATTGAGAGGTAAATGTTTATTTTACAAACTGAATATTTAGGTCAGACCTAAACATTCAGTCTGTGAAATAAAAATTTTATTTGGAGCAAAAATATTTATTATGGGGCTATACCTAAATATTGAATTAGCACACTAAATGTTTAGTTCCAAATTAAATATTAAGCTGAGGTCTAAATATTTATTTTTGAAAATAAATTGTATTTTGGAGCTCAGTATTTAGTTTATGTAAAGAAAATATTGACTGGCTCAGTTATATTGTAAAACTGGCTGGCTGGTCATATTGTAAGGAGAAACTGTCTTTACTCAGTTTTATTGTTAAGAAGACTCAAAGGTTGTTTTCATCGATAAACTGCCGATAATATCTGAGTGTCTGTGTTTCAGTTCAATGAGGAAACCAGTTTGACAATTAAAAGTTTTAATTCTTCAAATTAAACTAATGATTTTGAAATTGACAAACAGGAAATAACAATCAACATTGGCAACTTTGTGGGACAATCTTTAACAGTTGATATGCTGTTCTTGCTCAAATAGACCTTCTGTTGGTGAATGAAGATTGAGTGTGATATGATGTGATTATGGATGCGTGTGTGTATAAAGTGTCGTGAGAATTGAACATGAGGTGAGATGAATGCGTGTGTGCATCTGATTTTGCTTCAGGAAGAAACAGGTGTCTGAGTGAAAAGTGATGGTTTGAATAAACTTAGGTTTAGTTGGAAAAGATGCATCAAAACGCTATCTGTCGTGTTTTGCCTCACCGAAAATCGGACCCTCTGTTGGACCTGGGATGTCACCTTAGGATGTTTCATCCAGGGCACCTTGGCTGGCAAAGAAGACAAAGATGCGCCGCGAACCGGTCCAGAGTTGCCCTCGGTACACGTTGATGGTAAAGCGTTTTGTCGACGCGCTTTCTTAAGTTAATTCACTCAGAAATCAAAAGACTCGGTAATGAGTCTGCGTTAGAAGTCGCGATTCAGCTATTCTGTCTGGCTGACAGGAACAGCGTGAAAGGGGGGAGAAACGAGCCAGCCGGCTCTGCCCCCCCCCCCCCCCCCTTTGGTTTTCAGGTCCACTCTCTTTCGTTGTCCAACACGAACTGGAATCATAAGACTGAAACTTACCAAAAACCTTTCTCTTCTCAAAGCAAACGTGTGCGTCATCAAATGTGTCTGGAGTTTACTGTGGGAAGATGTGTGTGGGTGTGTGTGAATGTTTGTGTGTGAAGGTCAGCAACAAACATCCTCAACACTATCTAATTATGGATTCATTAAGCCATTATAATTACCCCAAAGCATAATAGTCATTCATTTGATTAAACACATTTATAATGAGCAAAATGATAATGGTTACTTTAACATTAAAATCAAGAAACAGAAGTTTAAACTTTATGTTTTGACTTGGTCTGGGTACAACTCATGGAAACACATCTTCTGGTAGACTGCAGGTGGCAGATGTTATGGTTTCCTCCCAGACTCGCTGGCGTTCAGGTCTTAATCTGTGGGTGAAAGTTCTCAGCGACCCAGCTTTGACCCAGCTGAGTCCAGCACCACCATTGTGACAGAAAACCCATATTTCCTCACGTTACATTTACATACTAAATATTTGGCTTCTAATTAGTAAGTTTATTAAATATTTATTTTACAAACAAAATATTTAGCTCTGATCTAAATATTTACTTAGAAAAATACACATTTACCTCCAAATTACATATTTAGCTTGCTAACTAAACATTTAGTTGGAAACTTTAACATCTATAAATGCATCAATAGCATGATCATTTGAAAAATTAACTCCCATCCTTTTCTTGTATGATGAGCCAAATAACCCAAAATGCTGCTTTTTGACTTTACAAATGGCACCCCACAATCAAGTTTCCAACTCAAGAATCAATGATCAATGGTAAAGCTCAGACTTAAAGTTTAAAAAGCTATTTAGTGTTACTTTAACTTCTTGCTGTCTGTTTATGAAATAGTTGATGTTGTTTATTTCATTCCTCTTTTCCCCCATTCTGTTAAATGGTAAAATGGCTCACCATATAGGAGGTGCGTTTTCAACCTGCTCTGACTTTTCTGTAATAAAATAGTTTTTGTTTTTCTCCTTTGCAGATTCATGTCGTCCGGCCAGTTTTAAACAGAATAGACGCTCTGATCCAAACAGCAGTGACTTACAGTCACGGTAAAACACCTCTGATTTACTGTGTTTAAACCTTTGCAACCAGTTTTTGACTAAAACCCCCAAACGTTTGGTTTACGGTCTGTGCTGCAGCTCCAGGCCTTTTCCACCCGTCCTGGCTGCTGTGTGTGTATCAGCGCATGTTCCACAGTGAGAATAAGTCCTTGCTGAGGGAGGGAGTGCGTCATCTGCTAAACCTGCAGGCCCTCCAGCAGCCGGAGTTTGCTCTGGCCTTTTCTCAGGTGCACAAACTGTTGGCTTAGATGTCATCAAGCAGAAATAACTAAACTACTTTCTTTATGTTATAAGCGACCTCTTCGTTTGCTTTGTAGTTTGTTGTTGGCCCCTTCATGGAGGCTCTTTCTGAAGCTTCTCTCTTCTGCAGGTGAGGATTTTAAATCATTTATTCGTCTTTCTACTGGGATGTTTCGCCAGTTATGTTTTAAGATTTGTCCATCTGCAGGTCAGCCGGGCAGAGTGTAGGAGACTGTCCTGAGCTGGCGGTTAAACTCCAGGTCTTCATGGTCACCTTCTTCAGCAGCCTGCCCTCAGAAGAGAGAGGTATGCCAGTAAAAGGTAGGATTTGAATCATTTTAATGATCATTTCTGATTTTTGAACTTTGTGCTGTAGGTCATGTGTTTCTTCAGCTGATTCAGCAGCTGGGCTCTAAGCACTGGTGCGCTGTGCCCCTACTCTTCGTCTGTCAGGCGTTGTCCAAGCTGCCCTCAGGTCCGCTCCTGAGGATCAGCGGGCTCACCGCCCTCAGGTAACTCGTTACGACGGTGTGGAAGCTCTTCACGCTGGAGGCTGATTTTCCGTGGTTTGCTTTCCAGAGAGGTGCTGCGCTGCACCATGATCACCCATCAGGTCCTGTTGAGAGGAGCCGCCCAATGCTTTTTGCTCAACAGCGCCCTCTCTCTCACAGTAGTGGTAAGACAAGAACAGTGCTTCAAAATGACCTTAAAAATCAGTTTTTTTTATTAAGATTTGTGAGAGTGAACTGTTAAAGGACATTTGTTTAGATGTGGTCATGTGACCCAATAATACATTTATATTAGACCTCAGGCAATAACAAGGTAATTAAGGCAAGGCAGTTTTATTTATATCACGTATTTTATACACAGAGGCAATTAAATGTGCTAGCAATAATAATAATCATCATAATGTTGATTATATAATATGATAATAGTAATGATATATTAATATTAATATGTATAATATTATTATTAACAACAACAACACTAATAATTGTGATAATAATATTAATAGTAATGATGATGGTGGTTATTATCATTATAATTGTTAACATAACAAATTTCATGTTTTAGCAGAAGTTTAATTTTAATTAAAATTGTTTAACTGCATTAACAGATTTCTTTTGCTTTTTTCTTCTTCTAAGTTAATTGAGTTGCCAACAGGGGTTTTTTCATCAGCAATAATATTTCGTTCATCTGTTTTGTTCCAGAGTGACGTCAGCCTAGACGACGCGTTCAGCATCCTGGCGGAGTTCCGTGCCGATGAATCTTTGTGCAGAGGGACGGGGCTCTGGAGTCAGGTTTGCCGATGACACGTTTGTAGAAACTGAAAAGTCACGATTCAGAATTTGAACGAGTCACTGTGGTTTTTTAATATTTTGTGACAGGTGTGCGCCTGGTTTTCGGAGCACGAGGGATGTTTCAAGTCCAGGAGAACGGAGGACGACTCCTCTGCAAAAACAGAAACCGTCAGAGCTTATGTTTACGAGGAGATATCCGCTTATTTCCGGGTTCCAGCCAGCACAGGTAAATCTGCTGTGAGGTTGTTGTAAGTAAAGCAAATATTTGTGTCTGGAAATAGGAAAATTCTGAACGGATGCTCAAAAGATTAGTTTTTGCCTCCATGCAGGCCAGGCGGAGAGCTTACCGGACCCTAGAGAGGCCGATAGGCTGGCCAGGGCCATTCTGCTCTGTGTGGACATGGAGAGGAGCAGACTGGGAGCAGAGATCAGCACCACTCTTGAGTCTCTGCTGTCTCCGCTGATGGACACCCTGAGCAGAATCAGCACCAACATCTACCTGCCGGTGCGTAAGGGCGACAAGAGCCTGCAGCTTCTGCTCAGACTACTGCAGCTTTCAGCAACGCCACGCCGTCAG